GACAGTCACCAACATAAACAAAGCCTTGAATTTGATCCTCAGCACCTCATAAATCATATATGGTGGCTCACACTAGTAATCTCAGCCCCCGGAAGATGGAGGATGAAGGGGTAGAAGTTCAGGTTATCCTTAGCTACATAGAAAGTCAACACCAGCCTGGGCTACATCAGACCAGATCTCAAGAGGAAAAAAGAAGAAGGTGGGTGCCAGCTGTAGCCACCCTCGCCCCAGGCTAAGACCTATTGGTTCCCTAGGAGTCCAGGCCCACTTAGCACCCCTTTCTGATGCCACCCCTATTATCTGCAGTCCCTCCATTAGGTACCAATACAAGACATCCATGAACAAAAAGGATTAAAGGGCCCCAGCCAGAGAAGTATGGCAGTGAGCTCTCCACCATTTCAGAACCTAGTTCCACCCAACCCAGGCAGGACCTACCTCAGGTAGTCACTTCTCTGCCAAGGCCGGAGGCCAGGGCCCATATCCAGAGGGAGGGACTGATCACAACCAAATCCCAGGCTAAGAGCCAAAGCCAAAGCAATCGGTGGAGTCTAGGCACTCTGCTAGGTAGAAACTGGGGAACAGTCACTGAAGAGGCTGTGGAGGTCACATACACCCTCTGGCTATGGACATAGCACAAGATTTGCTGGCTTCATTGTTACTTGCATCAGAATTGACTCCAGCAGCTGAGGATAAATTCTACAAAAGCCAAAGAAGCAGGAGTTGGCTAGAGTAGGGGACCAGAGGCCAGGAGTTAGACAGGACCTTGACCATTCTGTAGAGGTAGTGTGGGAATAGCACAGCGTGGCTCCAGGGAGGGGTACCAGCCGCAGGATCCTAGGGCGAGGGTTGAAGGCCCCTGGAGAAGGTTGACCAGGAATACTTTATCTCCTATGTACTCCCAAGGCAACCAGGAGGCCAGGGCATCTGAGGGTTGGGGCTAGGTGGGGGCACCACTGACACTTGGGGGCGGAGGGAGAGGAGGGCATAACCTCTCATGGGACAGCTAATGAAGCTCAGGCCCCATTGAGTCACAGAGTCTAAGTCTGACTGCCACCTACTACACACAGGACATGGCAGGCATGGCCCTCGCTCCAAGGCTTGAAGTCCCTCAGCCACATGTGTCCAGGGTCATCAGTTCTCGCCCTCTCCCCAACAGCAGGTGCCCATGAGCCAGCCCTGAAGCTCACCGACCACCAAGGTACAGAGAGCCCACCTTTAACCTTCAAGAAACATCAGGCCCACAGCCCCATACTTTATACCCAGTCCTTGGGAACTCAGATACAGCCTCCACCCAGAGTCCATACTGGTTGATCAGTCCTGGCTCACCCTCCTAGAGCCTGGCTCAGCCACAGGGGAGAATTCCTACTTCTGGTGTGGACATCTTTCACAAACTCTCCCTAAATTTAGCCTTTTCATCTGATGGTGTATGGCTGTCAAGCTAAAGGGGTTGAGAAAACACCAGCTCTTCCCCCAGAGACTGTCACACCTAACCCAGATGGGCCCAGAAGTCAGGGACAGGTGGTCTGGATGAGCTCCTGTACCTCTATGAAAGAAAGAAAGCCAACCCAGGGTTTGGTCCTTCTTGCCTGTGGTGGGAGGGAGGACCCAAATATAATGAAGGATGCTGGAAGCACCTGCCAGGGACAAAAGCCCTCAACCCCACACAGAGGCCTGCTTTTAGTTGTACATGATCCTGGGACACCTCTCTCTAGACCAGTGGTTCTTAATTTGTGGGTCATGACCCCTTCGGGGGTTGAATGGCCCTTTCAAGGGGTCACCTAAGACCATCAGGAAACACAGATATCTACAATACAATTCATAACAGTATCAAAATTGCAGTTATGAAGTAGCAATGAAAATAATTTTCTGGTTGGGGGTCACCACAGCATGAAGGACTGTATTAAAGGGTCTCAGCACTAGGAAAGCTGAGAACCACTGCTCTAGACACTGGGTTCTGTGACCAGAGCTGGCTTAGGCCACACTTCATAGCCAAGCCTAGGCCCTGGGAGGCCACTGTCCAGGGCTGCGCTACACTGATGGATGTGGAGGGCAAGGGTCTGAGCTGGACGTGAAAATGGACAATCACACACTTGTCCAGCTACAGGTTCCGCTTTCCTGGCCCGCCAGCGGGATCTGGGGCTTATCACTGTGATTGCCAAGGGAACAATGGCGCACACACACTTACCTTCCTGTCAGAGCTATCTCAGCCGTCAGAGCTGTTTGCTCAGTGCATTCGCTCTCCCAAGTCAAAGGACAAAAACACTATTGAGCCGTGATTTCCTGCCAATCAAGTGTGTTGCAGAAGGTGGGCCCCGAGGCCCTCCTGTGGCCCCTCCTCACCAGGATGGAGCCATTGACCCGGGAAAGGGCAATGCCACTCCCTAGAGCTAATTTCTTGCCACAGGTGCATGCAGCCCAAAACAGCCCAGAAGATCCTGGAAGGCACAGCTCTCAGCCACTCATGCATGGTCATATGCACACACCCCTGCAGATTGTTAGACAAGCACAACCAGCCAGCCAAGCAGACACAGGGCTCCTAACGACACTGAGTCATAAGCACCTTCTACGTGACTCCTGTGTCCGGGTCCACCGAGTCCCTCCTCACCTGCCCAAACCCAGCTGCGAGGCTGCAGCCAGAGCTACACAAGCTCCATTGGTGTCACTTTGAGTGAAAATGCCACTCTATCCCTCAGTTCTCACCTGAGTGGGTGCTGCTGAGTGTTAATAAACCACTAAAGAGGGCTGGAGAAATGGCTCTGTGGTCAAGACCACAGCTCAACACTGCCTATAACTTTAACTCCAGCTCCAATTCCAACTCCTCTAGCTTCTGCTGGCACATACCTACACACAAATACCACATACACATAAATCAGAATATGGAAACTAAAAAGGAGAGAAAACACTAAGAGAGCCTGGAGAAACAGCTCAGCCATTAAGGGCAGTTGCTGCCATTACTGGACTGATAGCTCAGTGGTTAAGAGCACTGGTTGCTCTTCCTCATGGCAGCCCACAACCATATCTAACTCCAGTCCCAGAAAAGCTGACTCCGTCTTCTGGCCTCTGCAGGTACCAGTCACACATACGGTGCCAGACATACATGCAGGCAAAACACTCATACACATAAAAAGAAAACAAATAAACCTTATTTAAAGAAAGGAACACCTGTTATTTTTACCCATAATCCAGGTTTAGTTTCCAGTACCCACATAGCAGCCCGTAACTGCCTGCAACACACTCAGGTTCCAACCTTCTTCTGGCCCCTGCAGGGACCTCCACTCACATGATGAACACATACACACTACGGCACTCAAACTCATGCATACATATAACACACACACTACACAAGACAAGTAAATCTATTACATAGAAAGATGGGAGGAGGAAGGAAAGAAGGGAGGGAGGGAGGGAGGGAAGAAGGGAGGGAAGAAGGAAGGAAGGAGGGAGGGAGGGAGGGAGGGAGGGAGGGAGGGAGGGAGGGAGGGAGGGAAGAGAAAGAGCAATAGACCACCCAGAAGCACACACAGCATTAGATGACCACTCCACCCACTGAGGCTGAACTCAGAGTTTCTGTAAAGATCATGTTCTTTCTATGATTCAGTGGGGGTTTGTCTTTTGGGGGGGTGCTAATGTCAAACCTAGGGCCTCAAATACGCTAGACACACACTGTATCACAGCGCCACACCCAAAGTCCAAAACATCCTGTTAAAGTTGAGGTTTATTTACAGAAAACAAACAGTCCTGCTTTGTCACAGGAGCTGCTGGATTTGCTGACCCAAGTGAGAACAGAATCTGAGAGCTCCCAGTGTAGAGATGAGGGACCAGAGGAGACAACCTGGGTCCAGGCTATGGGGCTTGGCTTAGCTTGGCTATGAGATACAGGCTCTTTTTGGGGACCCAGACTCCGGCAGGGCTAGAGCTAATAGAGCAATGGACACAGCTAGGTGGTGGTCCTGAGTTCCTTCAGGGGTGCAAGTGGCACCACCCAGCACTCGCTGGAGTGACCAAAACCACCCTAGGAGATCCCTGTGTCTCACCCCAGGTTCCCAGTGGGACTGAACAGACTCAATGGTTTGTTGGATCCCACCTCATATCCTGGCCGTGAGACAGTTTCAAGGAAGACCCTACCCTTTCCTCACCCCAACCTTATCCATGATTCTTGCCCTCAGCCTGACCTTTGTCCTAACCCTAGCATTAGCCCCTTAAGGGGCTGGCATGCACCCCACCTTTGGCCCCCGCTTCTCATATTCCCAGGAGCCCATCTTCCAAGTGGGTTTGGCCAGCTGTCTAAGGGTACCCACAGCTCACTCAACCCATGGAGATAATGCAAAGGTAACTTCACCCACGGGGCAAGAGCCCAAAGCATAGCAAACAGTGCCAGGGAACCCCCAGTACAGGTAGCAGGACCCCTCCCCAGGTGGTCTTTCTCATGGAGGGAAAACTCACAATAAATAGAGTAGACTCAGCAAATAAATGTCTCTGGTGGGGTACCAGGACCCAGGGTGGAAGCTGGATTACCTGGCAGGATCAGGCCCTGATATCCCCCTAGGCCAGCCCCATCCCAGGCACCCAGGTGTGTGACTGGTGGTGTCCACAGTGATATGGCAGTTAGGACGGGCTGTTGACAGGCCCCACCATGGCCTCCAGGACAGCCAGATGCAGGAGGTGCTTATGGGCCCCCAGAGTACGTGTGTCAGGCCCCCCACTGGGAGTAGAAAGATAATGGGGCCACAGCCACTGCAGAATTTTCCAAAGAAGTCTTGAGTCCTGATAAAGCAGAAGCCCATATCCTGTTTGGCCACCACTGTGCCCGGCAGGCGGTGGCGATCACAGGCCTGGAGTACAAGGGGTGCAAGTGGGTGCGGCAGGGGAAGGGCACGCCACCCCTACATAAGCTTCGGAGCGCTAGACACTCGAGTGGCAGGGGGCAGCGGCAGGACTGCCTACGCGCCCAGCAGTAGAAGACCAGGGCTGGTGGCCGCCTCTGCTCCAGGAGTGCCACCATGCTCAGGGGTCAGCAGCTGCTGCTGTTGCTGTTCTTCAAGGGACCATTAATCAATGCTGGTGAGTGGGCATCTGCCGGGCTACGCCCAGGGGGCCGAGTACCCAGTGCCCTCCACAGGTCCCTGTGCATGGGAAAGTTCTCGGGTCGTCTTGCCTCATTGACTCTGCCTCAGACGGGCCGGCCATGCGGACACTGAAGAATAGGAGGCAGAAGGGACCCAGCAAACTACTCAAACCCGTTTACCTCCTGTGAGCTGGGTATGGGGGCCAGGAAAGGAACAAGCTCATCCATCTGAAATGGGGGGGGCTCCCTCTTGCAGAGTCTCAACAGAACAGAATGGTTAGCAACAGGGCAGGCCTGGCACTCTTCCCCTCCCCCCTTGGCTCTGGCCCTGGGAGGTCTTTGAGGAGCCTGAGGTATGTAGCGGCAGGGGCGTGTGTCACCCTAACAGAGTTGCTCCTTTGGTGCTGAAGCCAAAGTCCCTAGGCCGAGCCCAGGCTCCACTACTCCTGACCTCATTCACTAACAGGTCTCAACTTCCCTTCTGTGTATGTGGGGAGACATCTTGTGCCACCTCAGCCCACAGCTCTGTATGCCAATCACCAGCTGGCAGGCACCTCCCCTAGGGGATAGGTCATATAGAGCCCACCCTCAAAATAGACCCAGCCTGGGGGTAAAGGTGCTAGGTGGGTCTCAGACTTGAAATAATGTGATGCCCCTCCCACCAGGCTGCTCTGCTCCTCTCCAGCAACAGCCTTCCCACTAAATAGGGCCAGATGCCCACACCAAAGGTGGCTCTGAACACCAAAAGGAATGCTTATAGTTCTTACTGGGTCACCTGGGACCCTGTCTTGCCTCTTACCCAGCATTCCTGGCAGGAAGAGGAGGTGGGCCCACAGCCAGGAATAGGGGAATAAGCCACAGGAGGGCCTGATGGGAGACTCCGGAGAGCTGCGGTGTTGGGAGGCTGAAGGGATGGGGCTGCTCAGACAGCAGTCTTTGAATAATATCACCTCTGTGCAGCCTAGAGGGAGGGCAGGGGTGGGAGAGTATGAAGTCAGACAGGCCAGATGGGACTTGAGGCTGCAGAAGCTGGGGAGGGGGCACCCGAGGCAGTGGGATTAGCCCAGGACAGGTGAGGCCACCAAACAAGCTGAAGGAAGTCCCTATGAACAGGAGTCCCCGTGGGCCATGGCTGAGGAATCCGTTAAAAGAAGGTGCAGATGGTCCCAGTAGAAGTGGCAGTCTCCTGAACATCTTCAAAAGGGCCTCTAGTTAGAAGTCAGCTCGAAGAAAAACAGGGCAGCCAGTGAGGGAGAGGGCATCTTGCCCAAAGCTCATGAGATGATGTGAGAGCTATCTGGCTGTGACATCTGTCACCCACTAATGGTGAAGTTGATTCTTGGCTGATCTGGCTGGCTAAGCAAGCATCCCCTTCCTCCCTCACTGTTCCATGTGAGACCCTCCTGAAGCTATGCTTGGTTCAGGAGGGTGCCTGTCCTCAATACAGGAGGACTGTTCTTTGATGAAGAAGAGTATGCACATGAGCAGCTGTGGTCCCCAGCTAGAAACAACCACCCCAAACATTTCAGGAGAGCTTGGGTGGAGAACTGCATCCCAAAGGATGCACTATGTGGTCCAGCTGGTCAGCAGGGTGGAAAGTGTGTCAGGTAAGGCACTGGCAGAGGGGTCAGGACATTGCAGCCCATGGGAGCCCCAGAGAAACCCTCCCTTACACAGCCATCTGCGGCTGCCTGGCCCTGCCTGGCGGTCACCGTGACAATGATTACCACAGTCCAAGGGCCCACTATGGCTGTTTTGGAGGCTGCCAAGGAGGAAAGGGGGAAGAAAAACAAGTGCAGGGCTCCAGATGGGGGAGTAGGCAGCTTCTGGGTAGTTTACCGAATAGACCCACAGGGAGACAGGACAGTCCGATCAGGGACACAACTGGGTGTGGCCTGGCAGAGGAGACAGCCAAAATCTGTCTCAGCCCTCTGTCCTCTCCTAGGTTGCCACCTGTCAGCACACCCCAGGCCCACCCTCTTGTATCCTTACCAAGAGTTTCATGGAGATGAGCTCTGTGCAGAGCAGTCCCCTCAAAGCCTATGCCCGCATTTAGATTCTCTGTCTGCTGAGCTCTGCAGTCTGGCTCAACTGAGCAGTGAATGGGGAGTGATCCTGGCAGACAGGCATCGATGCCTATCCCGACACGGCACTTGTTCCCCAGGGATGTCCTGCTAGCTCTACTCCACTCCCTGCTGGCCTCCACAGGACAGGGTGTCCCTCCAGCATGCCCCCGAGTAGAAAGAGCCCTAGGCCCTGTTCCAATGTTCCTTACTTCCTTAGAGAGGCTGCCCTCCCAATTCCAGAATGCACAGTAGCAGCTGTCTACACTTCCTTGCTTCATGTGCTCACCACTCCAGGTCACTTCTGCAGCATGTGTGTGCTGTATGAGTGGGTGCCACCTTCCCGGGACCTTGTGGGAACAAGTCCTGTGTTGTGGACCTGCAGTACCTGGCATGGTGACGGGCACCAAGCAGGAGCTTCCTGAAGCCAGGCTAAGCCAAAGATGGAATATATGAATGAATGAACAAACCAGGAAGTAATGAGAGCAGGAGGATGTTACAGCTGGGGAAAAATGAGCTGAGATGCCGGGGCTTAGACTGGAATCCACCCTTTGTCCTCCCTTAGAGCCTGCTACCTACTCAGTTAAGCATACTGCAGACAAGCTTGTGCTGTTCCAGAGCATGGCACTGCTACAAATGATGGGCAAACGGGGGCTGTGTGCTTGGGCAGCCTCGGGTAGAAGTGGACAAACCCACCAGGGATGACAGTGGGGTGGAACAAGTTGAGATAACAGTCACAACACTAACCATGGGTCCTGCCCATGCAGGTCTGGACACCACCTCCTTTGCCAGCCTAGGTCCCTGGAGGCAGGACTCTCCACAGACGACAGGTGAGAGCCAACAGCAGTCACATCACTGGCCAGAGTACCTGAGGCCCAATGGCCCAGAGGGCAAAAAGGAGGGGGCCACACCTCAACACACACACACACACACACACACACACACACGCACACGCACACGCACACGCACACGCACGCACGCACGCACACACACACAGACACGCACGCACGCACGCGCACACACACACACACATGCTTGCTTGCTTGACACACCCATGTATAGCATGCAGGCCTTAGGGGTACTGTGGTTTGGGGTTTCCACAAGAAGTATCCAGCCATGAAAGTCACAGCTCAGGCTCCAGCCAAGAGTTCTCATTCAAGGCACAGTGACCTCCGTGCCTGGCCCTGGGGGATACTGAGTCATAGCTTCCTGCCTTACAGGTGCCTGGACTGGAGATGCCACAGATTCCAACACTGAGGATAACCTGCCATCCTGTAAGGCCTAGACGGAAGGCAGAGCCTGGGCCAGAGCTGGGTGGGCATGTGGGATTGCAGCTATGGTGGCCTCTGCAGGGTCCCTGCTTCTGGGCCAGGCTATCCCAGACATGCCCTGCCTGGTCATTGGAAACAGGAGTGTATCATTTTCTTTGCAGCCCCAGAAAAGGGCTGGTGCTCCACCTGGGGAGCTGGCCACTTTTCCACCTTTGACCACCATGAGTACGATTTCAAAGGGATGTGCAACTACGTCTTTACGGCTACCTGTAGGGATGCCTCGCCCACCTTTAGCATCCAGTTGCGGAGAGACAGGGATGGGAACATATCCCGGATCATCATAGAACTTGGGGCTTCTGTGGTCACTGTGAACAAGGCAATCGTCTCTGTCAGGGACATCGGGTAAGCTATGGGGCAGGGTAACCAGGGTCAGGGGCAGAAGGGACAGTTGCTGACTTGTCTTACCCACAGGGTTGTTAGCCTGCCCTACACCAGCAATGGCCTCCAGATCACACCATACGGCCAGAGCGTGCAGCTGGTGGCCAAGCAGCTGGAGCTGGAGTTAGTTGTCATTTGGGGTCCAGATGCCCATCTTATGGTGAGAGCCATGCGCTGACAAACAGCGTTCAGGAAGGGCCCTTCTCAGAGTGAGTCCCAGGAGCCCAGACTGGCTGGACAGCACTGACTGCTGGCCAGCAACCCAAGAGGACCCGAGTTTAGATAGCAGCTCAGTTTTCCCATTTGAAAAGGAGGAGGATCCAGCCAGGAAAGGAACCCCACACCCCACAAAGAGAAGGGTGGGGAGGTGGGAACACCTGGAACCTTGAAGCAGGAGTCCAAGGGCTCTCCAGCCTGGGTAGGGTACCCCTATGCATTCCCACAGGGACCAACAGTGCCACCCTGCAGGTCCTGGTAGAGAAGAAGTACATGGGCAAGCTGTGTGGACTGTGTGGGAACTTCGACGGGAAGACAGACAATGAATTTCTGAGTGAGGATGGTAAGCTAGGTTGGGGTTGGGCGGTCAAGCCCCAGGTCCCTCTGTAGTCTGTCCCCACATGCTGACCTCTGTCCTATGCCCCCAGGCAAACTTCTGGAACCTCACAAATATGCCACACTCCAGAAGCTAGATGACCCCAATGAGATCTGTGCCCATGAGGCCATCCCCAGCCCTACCACCCTGGAGACCAGATATGTATGTGAGGTGGCCCAGAACCCAAGGCCAGAATGTGGCTGACACAGGGGGGGCTATGTAAGGGTCTCTGGGGCCAATGCTACCCCCACTTCTAGCCTCCCAAGCCCTGGTATGTATGATACGAAATGTGGCCTCACCCATATGACTTTGCGCGGCTCTCTATTTAGGCCCATATCTGCAACCAGCTACTGACCCTGGTGTCCCCTGGGTGTGACGTGCCCAAGGAGCCACTGGTGCTGAGCTGCCAGGCAGACATGGCCGAGTGTGCCCAGCCAGGCCGGCAGAATTGCAGCTGTGCCACACTGTCTGAGTACTCCCGTCGATGTAATGTGGCCGGCCAGCCTGTGCGCAACTGGAGGACCCCCGGGCTCTGCCGTGAGTCCTAGGCAGGGTGAAAGGGATAGTAGCTTCGGGTAGGGAAGGAGCCAAGCAAAAATTAAGTAGGAGCTCAGGAAGGCAGGCAGGATCTTCTTACCAGACTCTATGCCTGCTGCCTGCAGCCGTGAGCCAGTGCCCGGCCAACCAGGTGTACCAGGAGTGTGGTGAGGTCTGCGTCAAGACTTGCTCCAACCCACAGCACAGCTGCTCCAGCTTCTGCACCTTCGGCTGCTTCTGCCCCCATGGTGAGGACATAGACCAGTACCCACTTTCCCCACAACTCACTCGCACTGACCTAGCTTGGCCTAGACATTCTTTATCTGAGTCCCAAGTCCAGGCCTTATCTACCCACCCCAAAACTTTCAGTCAACCCAGGGCTCCAAGTAGAGTGAGCAGTGGGGAAGAGGGATCTAAGAGTACTAAGGAGAGGTGGGCTTTGAGCCATCCAAGGCAACTGCCAAGGCTGGCAGGGATGAGGGAAGGAAGAGCGCAGCCTGGGACTGACCGAACAGCCAGCTGGGGAGGAGTCTCCACAGTGATAGGCTGCCTAAGGACCAGCCATCCAACCTGAGCCCATGCCCTTAGGTACACTACTTGACGATATATCCAAAAACCAGTCCTGTGTGCCAGTCAGCCAATGCCCCTGTATGCTCAATGGTGTGGTCTATGGCCCTGGGGAGATCACAAGGACAGCCTGCCAAACCTGGTAAGTATAGAGAACAAGTTCTGCTGGCATGGGACCTGAGAATGGGTACCATTTGCCTTGGGCCTCATAACCCACTGGGGATCACCCCAACGCCCACCTGCAGCCAGTGCACCATGGGCCGCTGGACGTGCACGAAGCAGCCTTGTCCTGGCCACTGCTCCCTAGAAGGTGGCTCCTTTGTCACCACCTTCGATGCCAGACCCTACCGCTTCCACGGCACCTGCACCTACACTCTTCTCCAGGTAGGAGGAGCCTAGGGCTGGGGGAAGGGAAGTCTGTCCACTCACCTCCCCACTCACTCCCGCTCACTCACCTCCCCAGAGCCCACTGCTTCCCAACGAAGGCACGCTCATGGCTGTGTATGACAAGTCAGGTTACTCACACTCAGAGACCTCCCTAGTGTCTATCATCTACCTGTCCAAGAAGGTAAGGCTATCTGCCCTGAATCAAGCACACGCTGTGGACAATCGCTGCAGACCCAGCAACTGGTTCCTGCTTCTCTTACTCCCTGCTCATACTCCTCTGTCCCTCCAGGACAAAATCGTCATCTCAGAGGATGAAGTGGTCACCAACAATGGGGACACCAAGTTGCTGCCATACAAGACACGTGAGTCCTTCTGGGGTTGGCACTGAGAATCTTGTGTTGCTGTGCCTTTGTGGCTTGGCAGCAGGGACAGCCTACTTAGCTCTGATTTCTTGCAGACAACATCACCATCTTCAGGCAGACGTCTACCCACCTCCAGATGGTTACCACCTTTGGACTGGAACTTGTGGTCCAGCTGCAGCCCGTCTTCCAGGCACACATCACAGTCGGACCCCAGTTCAAAGGCCAGACCAGAGGTGAGCCACTGTCCTGCTGGTCACTCCCAGAGTCAGCCTGGCTGTCTCCTCTGCTGCAGCTAGATGCAGAGGGGACCCAGGGGTGCCTTATACTGGCTCTCTACATCCAGGGAACCCATAGCCCCAGCCTCATGAGTAAAGTTAATGATTAATCAGAGGGGCATAGCTGGAGAGAAGAGAGCTTTAGGGTATACGGAGAAACTGGATGGGCGGGCCAGGACTCACTCAGTTGCTCTCACATCCCGGCCCCTTCAGGGCTCTGTGGCAATTTCAATGGCGACACAACGGATGATTTCACAACCAGCATGGGCATTGATGAAGGCACTGCCTCACTCTTCGTGGACTCCTGGCGCGCAGGGAACTGTCCAGCTGCCCTAGAGCGTGAGACGGACCCCTGCTCCATGAGCCAGCTCAACAGTGAGTCCCCTACACCCCACCCTCAGCCACCTAAGCCTGTCGGGATGGGGAGGGAACAGGACACCCACAACTGCACCTATTGTCCCCAGAGGTGTGCGCAGAGACCCACTGCTCCATGCTGCTGAGGAAGGGCAGTGTGTTTGAGAAGTGCCACACTGTGGTGAACCCCCAGCCCTTCTACAAGGTGGGTCCAATGGTATTTAGGAGGGGATGAGGGGAAGTGGTAGCAGATGCAGTCCTAGACACCTGGGTCCTGCCCTCCCTGCAGAGGTGTGTGTACCAGGCCTGCAACTACGAGGAGACCTTCCCTCACATCTGTTCTGCACTGGGGGCCTACGCCCATGCCTGCTCCGCCCGAGGCATCCTGCTCTTGGGCTGGAGGAGCAGCGTGGACAACTGCAGTGAGTGCTGGCTGTGGTGAGGGGCTGTGGAAGAGTCAGAAGGGGCAGGGCTGTGGACATAGGAGGAATGGGAGCCTGAAGCCCAACAGAGCCCCTGGGGTCATGGTGAGGAATTCCAGGGCCTTAACTAACGCTGCTCAGCCATTTCTCTGCTAGTCATCACACCCCCAAGCCCCAGACCCTTTCCCCACACAGCTTTCTGTCCTGAGAACCTGACCCCTAGTTCCCCCACAGCCGTGCCTTGCACTGGCAACCGCACATTCAGCTACGACAGCAAGGCCTGTGACCGCACCTGCCTGTCTCTGTCGGATCGTGAGACAGAGTGTCATGCAAGTGCTGTGCCGGTGGATGGCTGCAACTGTCCTGAGGGCACCTACCTGAACCACAAGGCAGAATGTGTGCACAAGGCCCAGTGCCCCTGTATGCTGGACAGCTACAAGTTCGTCCAGGCTGATCAGTCAACCATGATCAACGGGGTCATATGGTATGGAGGGCAGGGCTGGGCAATGCCTGGTGAGGGAGGGGCCCTACACACCTGGGAGCTCATGTGCCCTTGCCCCTCTCTTACAGCTACTGCATCAATGGCCGCCTGAGCTGCCCACGGCAGGCCGAGATGTTTTTGGGTAAGTGTATACCAGGAGCTAGGCAGGAGACCCTGTCCGGAAGGCCCCTACACCACCCTCAGTCCACCTGACCTGTCTTCCTCCTCCCTGCAGCATCCTGCCCAGAACCCAAGACCTTGCAGTCCTGCAGCCAGTCGTCAGAAGACAAGTTTGGGGCTGCATGTGCCCCCACGTGCCAGATGCTGGCCACAGGCATTGACTGTGTAAGCAGTGTGAGGAGGGTTTCCACACATCTACGGGAGCCCAGTGCAGGGCAGGGACATGCTGCATCCGCAATGTCCCTCTGGCCATGTCTCTGTCTCAATAGCTAGTGCTGGTATTGAGTCAGGAGCTGACTGGCAGCTGGGTAGCTGGAGCACAGGGTACTTGTCTACACAATTCTGTGAGGACATGGACTGGCTCCCAGCTTGGGAACTATGGCCACCTGTCCCTGTGCGTGTGGCAGCCCATTCTGATACACACACACACACACACACACACACACACACACACACACACACACACACACACACACACACACACACACCCTGGAATATTACTGGAAGGGTGGCTTCTCTAGAAGCAAAACTGAGCTGCCACAGACCTTAGGGAAGGCTAGACAAAAGGGAAAACATGAGGAGTCTCGAAGCTGGAGCTGCGGTAGCAGAGTGCCGAGGAGCTAAGAAGCCTGTCTGTCTCCCCACCAGGTACCCACCAAATGTGAACCTGGCTGTATCTGTCCCAAGGGGCTCTATGAGAACAGTGACGGGCAGTGTGTGCCTGCAGAGGAATGCCCATGTGACTTTGCAGGGGTGTCCTATCCTGGTGGCTCTGAGCTCCATACTGACTGTAAGAATTGGTAGGTCATGCCTTAGCCTGAACACCCAGACCCTGAGGGCCATCTGGGCAGGCAAGGACTCTCAAAAGTAAGTTGTCCCAAGGTGGGGCTTCCAGAGGTAGGGTATCCTAAGGTCACCAGCCCAGGTCTCTAGCCCACCTCCTTGTGTGGAAGAACTGCCTCTTACCAGCCCTCCCCTTCTATCTCCCCAGCACTTGCTCCCAGGGGAAGTGGACCTGCCAGCTTAGTGCACAGTGCCCGTCCACCTGTGTCCTCTACGGTGAAGGCCACGTCGTAACTTTCGATGGACAGCGCTTTGTGTTTGAAGGCAACTGCGAGTACACTCTGGCCACGGTAAGCACAGTGCCCAGTGCCAAGGCTGCAAGGAGCCAGGGTGGGGACCACGGGGCATCTCCTCAACACCCTTTCCTGCAGGACGACTGTGGTGCCAACAGCTCACAGCCTACCTTCAAGGTCCTGACAGAGAACGTCATCTGTGGGAAATCAGGGGTCACCTGCTCCCGAGCCATCAAGATCTCCCTGGGTGTAAGTGGCTGAGTCCCACAGGGTGGGGGAGGGCTGGATTTTGATCAGTTCCCTCCCAGGTCTCCCAGCCACCACCCTCACTGCATAGGCCTCCCACAATCCCTCTTCCTCTGTATGACAGGAAGGGGTGGCCAGAGATTGGTGACCCACTGGGTAGTTACACACTCAGAACTTGTGGCCACGTGGTCTCTACCAGTTTCCCAGGGATGTACAGCATTTCAGGGGCAAAAAGAAAGTTGTTCTTCAGGAAGCTGAAATCTGTTTCCATGTGTCTAGAACGTTCTGTCCAGAACTGGCTCCCAGCATATACGCCTACACGTCTTTCACTGTTCTTGTTATTGTTTTGAGACAGGGTCTCATGTAGCCTAGGCTAGCCTCAAGTTTATCATGCAGTTTAGGCTAGCTTTGAACTCCCAATCCTCACAAAGATGGAAATTTACTATGCTGGGTTAGACCTCTACCTTCCAAACACTCAAATCACAGGCAGCTGGGGCACTGGGGTGGGCAGGAAAAGAGACCAAGTGGTGACAGCCCTCCCCACACAGGGGCTGTCCATCACAATGGCAGACAGGAACTACACGGTCAGCGGGGAAGAACCCTTGGTGCACCTTCAGGTGAAGCCCAGCCCCCTAAACCTTGTCCTGGACATAGGCATCCCTGGAAGGCTCAACCTGACACTTGTGTGGAACAAGCACATGAGTGTCTCTATCAAGATCAGCCGTGCCACCCAGGTACTCACCGCATGCTTGCTATTGAACCATGGTCCCAGCTGGTCTCAGGGTGAGGGATCTTCCATGAAGGCTGCATGGCTCCTCAACAATTGCTCCCACAGGATGCCCTCTGTGGCTTGTGTGGCAACTCCAATGGGAACATGAAGGATGACTTTGAGACACGCAGCAAGTACGTGGCATCCAGTGAACTGGAGTTTGTGAACTCATGGAAGGAAAATCCACTGTGTGGGGATGCGAGTTACGTGGTGGATCCCTGTAGCCTAAATACCTTCCGGCGCTCCTGGGCTGAGCGCAAATGCAACATTATCAACAGCCAAACCTTTGCCGCCTGCCACAGTAAGGTAGGCCCTGTCCTCCAAGACGGAGACATGAGACACAGTCCTCCTACCATGGGACTCCAGGTTGGCTGGAGGCATCAGGTGTGGAGAGGAGAATAGCCATCACCTGAGGCCAGGGCCATCCACAAGCAAGAGCAATGGTTAGCATTACCCAGACCTCTGCCCACTAGAGGACCACAGCAGACAAGAGAGTTGAGTAAAGTGTCACCTCGTGCAGACAGCTAGCTGCTCCGGGATGCACGGCCCAGAGAAGAGAGATTCAGTCATAGGAACCCAGCCCTGGCCAGGGCTAAGAATTTTTGGACTCAAGAGTTTTCAGTACAGCCCCTAATATGTGGTCCTCACTAAAACGACAGGGAGCTACCCCAGGCGGTGCAAAGGCTCTGTAGCCAGGGGCCACCTGGGGTGTTCAGGAGGACCAAAGAGGGAGTAGAGACCCTAAGAGGATCAGGTATTCAAGCAAGAGACAGTCAGCCTTGGTTTGCCACACCCTGATCCCAACAGGAGTTGTTTCTAACAGACACCCCAGGGCAGGGTTGACTGACACCAACAGCACTGACCCCCAGAAGGTGGCTGCCACTGACAGTTGCAACTTACGCTAGAAGATGCTCTCAGAGTGCCAGGGCATTCCCCCAATATCTATACCCCAAGGCAGCAAAGTCTAACTCCACCTTGCCACCACTGCAAGCCAACTGCCAACATGAGACCCTCCACTCCACAGGTATACCACCTGCCCTACTATGAGGCCTGCGTACGTGATACCTGTGGTTGCGACATGGGCGGAGACTGCGAGTGTCTGTGTGATGCAGTGGCTGCCTATGCCAAGGCCTGTCTGGACAAGGGCGTGTGTGTGGACTGGAGGGCCCCAGACTTCTGCCGTGAGTGTCTCACCCCATGCCCAAAACTGCTCCACCCAGGGGCATACCCCAGAAGCCTCTCTCCAGGCAGGCACCAGGCTGTTCCCCTTCGGGGCAGCCCTGGGTCACCAGCTGTTCCCCAGGCTCTCCCTTCCCAGACCCATCAAGAGGAGACAGCCTCAAAGAGAACCCAGCCCTTCATTCTGGCACTTAGGCCTGGATGACAGCTGATGCACATTCTTCTTCTCAGCTGTCTACTGTGACTTCTACAACATCCACACACTGGTGGGTGAGAAGGAATACCAGTATGCTCAAGAGGCCAACTGCACGTGGCACTACCAGCCCTGTCTCTGCCCTGGCAGCTTGGGGAGCTTCCCGGACACAAACATTGAAGGTATCAAGCACAGGGATGCACATGCCATGCACGTGGGCTTTTGTTCATTCATTTATTCATAGGTCCACTCACTCATTCTTTCAGGTACACATCTATTCATAATGCATTCATTTGTTCACACACAGATCCACTGTCGTGTATTCATTCACCGACACATTACTCAGCACACATTCATCCACTCACACATCCACTCACTCACACACTCAGCAAACGTGTCCTGAATTCCAGGCCTTGTTCTTGACTGAGGACCTGGCCTCACACAAACTAGCCCTTCTCTCTGGCCTGGGAAAGAGCCTTAAAAAGCAAACTAAGGAATTAATAACTTGTCACCTGACACACCTACCACAGTGGAAGTTAAGACAGATGCCACAGGAACAGCACAGCTGGGGGGCTGCTGCTGCTGCTCTAGAGTCTCACAGAGTCCAAGATCAGAGGGGCAGGAGCTGGGACAGAGACAGTGCTCTCCACATCAAAAAGGAGCAATTAGGCCAGTCATGGTGGCGCACGCCTTTAGTCCCAACACTCAGGAGGCAGAGGCAGGCAGATCTCTGTGAGTTCAAAGCCATTCTGGGTTACATAGTGAGTTCCAGGTCAGCTAGAGCTAAATAGTGAGATGTCTCAAAATCAAAGACATAAAAAGGCAGTTCAGACACAGGCGCCAAGAGTCAGAGCAAGGACACACAGGGCAGAGCTCCGGAGCCCAGCAGGTGACTCCAGAAGCTGGTGTGAAGGGAGAGGAAGAGGTGGGGGCGGGAGAGCTGAGAAGGGAGCACATAACAGTAGTGGCCCCGCAAACAAGTGGAGCTGGTGGGTGTGAAAAGGAGTGCTGAGCTTGGCCCTTTTCTGCCCCAGGATGCTACAACTGCTCCCACAATGAGTACTTCGACCACAAAGAAGGGACCTGTGTACCCTGTGGTAAGTCTAACAGATGTTCCTGCCACCAGGGAGTACAGCCCTTGAATGGGTAAAATATGCATCAAGCCTGTCCGGCCCCAGGAACTCCTTCCTAGATGCTTTCCTTCAGGATACTGACACACAGGCTCGAACAGTGTCATAGTACACAGCAGAAACAAAAATGCAGTACTGGTCCCCTTGGCCTCTGCTCTATACCCCATTCCAGCCATTGCTTAGCCACAATGTTAGGGCAGGGTGCCCCAAGCCAGTGAGGTAACTTGGGTACACAATGGGGATTTTCCTATGAACCCAGATTTACACTACCCTGCTATGGCACCCTGGCTGGTCCCCTACTCTCCCTGCCAGGCTGACAAGAGAGGGAGGGAGAGGGACAGTCAGAGGAGCAATGGGACAGTCAAGCAGCAATTCCTGATGACTCCCTTCTCTTGCAGCACCACCCACTACCACACTACCGCCAGCCACCACAGGTGATTGCTCACCCACTTGGTACCACAGGATGAAGGCTTCCAGACTAGGGCTCACCTTAGCTCCAGTGGACAGCCCTCCCCATCCCACCAGCCCAGTCTCTGCGTCTGCCAGGTCCTGGGAGGGTGGGTAATGTATCTTGCAGTCCCAGGTCAGAAGGGAAACAGCATATAAAGCTTAGTTCCTGGCCAGCCATCGGCCAGGGCCACTTGACTCACTTGATCTTTGACTGAGCAGGAAGCAAGGCCTCCAGAGGTAAGTCTATCAGGAGTCCATGCTGCCTTCATAGGTCCATGAGCCACCCTGTACCTTTGGCCTAGCCCTTCAGCCAGCAGATCAGTCTCTTCCCAAAGAGGCACCAGAGCCAGATCCTGCCCATCCATGAGAGCACCTATGCCCCACACAGGTTCACAGCCCACCACGGCAACTCCCACCAGCCCTGAGTTCTACGGTTCCAGCTCTGCAGCTACACCTGTGGGCCCCTCCTACTTGCCAGGTCTTCCAACCCCAGCACCTTCAACCCCATCCTCCACTGAGGAAGTAACAGACTGGACCACCCCCAAGAAATCCACAGTCTCCTCAGGTAAAAAGGAGGGATGCAGTAGAGTCCTAGGGTTGGGAGGGGCTCTCACTGTCTTCCCACTGAGATATGCCTGAAGGCAGCGTCTCAGCACAGAATTCCCTGGGCATGAAAGGCAGGGTGGAGATTTTTCTGAAAACCTAGCTTACAACTCAAGCTAGCTGGTCACTCAGTGTGGCCATTCAAAGCTATCTGAAACTTCCACTAGAACATACATGGGATCCTCTAGGCCTCCATCCTGAAGCCTGCCCCACTCACATACAGCAGCAATCCCAGATGCTGCTGGGGACACCAAGGAGAAAGGAACATCAGCCCTAAGACCAGAAGTGTGGGCAGAGGGATGATCAGTGGCCTATGAGAGCCTGTGTGGTGACTGCCCTTGAGGTGAGTCCACACCAGATAGGTGGACTTGCAGGCTAGGAATGGGACAAGACTGGTGTTCATCAACCTATGGAGAGATAACAATAAGATAAGCATCCTGAAGGCAGGAGCAAAGAGCAGGGGACTTAAACACACATCTGGGAAAAGCAAGTGGGAAAGAGGTATTGCCATGACTTTCCTCTACAGAATACCCTCAAACCACTGAGGCTACTGCACCACTGACATCACCTTTGCCTCCTACATCCACACCGAGGTCAACACCCACAAGACTCCCGGTGACACAGGCCACAACCAAGCCCACAGCATCTTCCCCCAGCTCATCCACAAAGACCACAGCTCAGTTCACAGAGAGTACCACGGTGACACCACCAACCTCAGTAATGCCTGAGATGTCCACCAGCCGAGGTGAGTCAAGGCCCCTGGGAAGCCAGGGCACCCGAGCCAAATGTTCAACTCTGACCCTCCATATAGCATATCCAACTCAACAAGAGGGTCTGTATTGCTCAGGGGGTGAGGGAGAGGGGAACCAATGGGGCAGGAGAAAGGGATACAGCATGACAACCAGCCATGCCTCAGGCCACACAGGACAGGCAGGAATGAGGGAAAGGGGTACATCATAATACATGTAAAGGAGGGGAGCTACAACAGCAGTAAAGTTCACCAAAGAAAGCCAAGAGCCTCAGAGCTAGGAAATTACTCACAGGTAATACAGCATGGTTAGAAAACAGAGAAAAGCCAGTCCAGGGACACAGCACAGAATATGTAAAGGACTATGAGCATAAACTGAACATTATTCACTGCCATGATCCACAGTGACATCAGCCCAACAGGAAAGTCACCGTCCAGCCACAACAAGCCATGCAACTGAGACCACAGAACTACCTCTCTCAGGAAAGACTACCCTGACCACACATCAAACAGGACAAAGCAATAGCCTACCACCACCTAATACAAACACTTGGACCCCAAACACAGTATCTCAAACTAAGCCAACACACATGACATGGAGCACCCACTCTCAACCAACCATTTCTTTCCACACTACAGAATACTCCGCAACTGCTCCCTCAGAAACATCTATCCAGACAACAACCACTTTTCCAAGGACTCAAAGCTCATTAGCGTCTGTAAATCCAACAGTTTCTACGTCAGAAGTGACACCAACATCTCAGACTCTCATGACCCCAACTACTTCACATATACTACCATCACCTTCAATAATAAAGCCATCCACCACCATGTTTCAAACCACCACAACAGAGGAATCAGAAATAACACAAACATTAGCCCCAGGCACCTATACAACCCTAACCTCAAATTCATTCTCCACACAAACCACCTCAGCTTCCTTAATACACCCTTCCAATACAACTCAGCATCAACCCACATCACTTCCCCTCACTACAATATCCAATAGGTCTACCATGGGAGGAACTGGTACCCCTGTGGTGCACACCACCTCAGAAACACATAGCAGGCCTCCTACTCCGCATACCACACAACCTCCACCCACTGTTCCTGTCTCTAGCACAACACACACCACTGGCCCCCCATTAGAAACTTCTGTCCAGACCACAATCACCTTCCACACACAATCAGGTCCTCACACTTCTTTGGCCACAACACTGCCAGTATTTTCAACCTCCTCTGTAACAACAACTTCACAGATAACTAGGACTCCCACAAGCACAGAAACAGTCTCAACGGCTTCCACGCCCAAGATATTTAGCACCATTCTTCCTAAGACCACAATGGAGGGAACAAGGCCCACACTTACAGCAGCTCTTACCACGTCCACAATCAGTGCCACTTCTCAATCTCAAAGTTCATTCTCCACCACCAGAAGCTACACTTCCGTCCGTTCTCACCCTACTTCCATGACAGCCCATCAGTCCATATCACTTCCACCTACTGGAAGTTCACCAAGGGCCACCACGAGTACACCTGGTACTGTAACAATCAATACCTCATCAGGAACACAGAGCAGTCCCCATAAGCCACATACCACCAACCCTCAACCCACAGCAGTTGTCTCTATCACAACACACACCACAAGGCCCTCGGGAACATCCCAGCAGACCACCATCACCATCCCAACACCTTCAACTCCTCATTCCTCTCTGACCACACCAATGCCATCATTACCAACATCGTCTGTGACACCTACTGAGATGCATAGCACCCCTACGAGCCAACACACAGAATCATCGGCTTCCGTGACCATGACTCTGAGCACCATTTTACAAAACACAACAGAGGACACAGGGACACGACATACACCAACAGTGGGCACCTACACAACCAGTGCCACCACACAAGCTCAAAGCTCATTCTCCACAGAAAGAACCTCTCCTTCCCACAGTTCAGAAACTTCCTCCATGACAGGCATTCAATCCACGTCAGTTCCTGCTACAACATTATCAACTATGTCCACCATGGGTGTAACTGGTACCAATGTGGTCCACACCACCTCAGGAACACCCAGCAGT